ATATATATATATATATATATATATATATATATATATATATATATATATATATAGACGTTTATTTACGATTTTACAAAACAAACAAATGGAAAGGAGGTATTATAAGGTTCTTCCATACATGCATTACATGCGAGGCATGTAGAAGCGATTGCGGTGGGGAAACGGGTGGAAAATCCTAAATATTTGAAGCCAACTATCCAAGCGCCCCTCTTACCCGTAAGTCTTACACTTCTTTGTCCCAACCGACGCGTTCGCTTTAACGTATACAGAGAGTACATTAATGATGCTTTATGGGCTCTTGCTTATACCCAAGATTATACTAACGGTTGAATCGGCATCGACTCGGATCGGCTGTTTGTACTTGAACACGTCAACGCTGCGTAGGTTGACGGCTCGGATGAGCACCTCCCCCACGCGGATCTCAAACCACTCGGGCCTGCGTAGCTCTGCGGGGTACTCCCATGCGACGATTCCCGCCACAGCCGTGTCCGTCTCGTTGTCGCACCAGCCGCTCACGTCCACGGTGATGTTGTGCGGCCGCGGCAACGGCTCAACAGCTATCGTTAGAGCGAGAGACGATTTACGACTGCGCTGTATACTGCTTTAATGCGGAATACGACGTACGATGAATATCAGCAGATTAGAAGTAGAAAGAACAAACGGGGATGTTGGGGTGATAGAAGGGTTTGTGTGTGTGTGCGTGCGTGCGTGCGTGCGTGCGTGCGAGCGTGCGTACGTGCATGTGTCTCTGTAAGTCTGTGCACCTCGTTCCTTCGTTCATTCGTTCGTGCGTGCGTGTGTGTGTAAGTATGCGCTCGCGTCCCGGCATGCGAGCGTGTGTGTGTGCGATGGGGAAAAAGGGAGAGCGATGGGAAAAGACAGGCGAGTGAGAAGGATGGAGAGAGCGCGATAGAGTGAGGGAAAATAAGATAGCGTGTACGAGGGGCGTTATAGAGAAGAAAATACAGACTGCACAATGGTAAACGAGATCGTAATCAGCGGCAAACACACGTCTCACGTGAAGACGGTAATTTGCAAAAGTGCCGCATTCAATAAGCTGCCAATACATCAAGTAACCTTAAATCTAGTCTTAAATATTCATGCGGTGCAACATGTCAACTACAGCGCGCTGTTCAGTAATCAAGAGGAAGCAGAAGACTCACCCATGCAGTGACAGTATCCGTCCACACACGCTGAAACAGTTCAAGATCAGTAGTAGGCTTAAATTGGATTAAAAACCTACGACAGTTGTTTTATTGTATATCTTCGCAAAACGTGTGATAAACGGGATCTGGATAATGCCTTATTTAGTCATGCTTAGGTGGCTATCGTTGTCACTGCTATTATTTACTACAGTTATTATTAGTCAGCTATCACTATTACCGGTAATATTTTCTGCAGATGTTAAGGTAACAGCTATTGCTACTTGCCAAGCTATGCTCAGCTGTCAGCATCGCCTTGTTTACGTTATGATTTGACCATCTACGGAAATGCCTTATCCGGTTTAATTGACACCGAATTTTTGCTGAACGCGGTGAGTGCTACGGCCTCTACATTCTCAGTGAGGCTGCACCGCGGCGGGGATGCTTGTTTGGGTCATCCATTCCTTGTTTATTTGTCGATAAAAGCGAAGCCGATACGGCCAGTTTGCAAACGGATATAGCAACATAGTTGTCAGGGAAAACAAGCCGCGCCGGTTCGGGTTACGGCGGCCGGCAGCGCCGAGCTAGTAAACATAACAGATCGGATTCTGCATGCTGAGCAGCGTGAAACCATGCTACGACTCCCCGCACGCATCTCATCTGCCAAGCGTAGCGCGACCTACGCGGGCCATACAACGACGCGTGGAAGAAATAATAAAAAAAATTGAAATTGAAATTTGCGAAGGGTTTAGATACAATTAAGGCGGTTCATGGGGTGTGCGTGGCGCGTACGTGCGCGGTTCTTGCATTATCTGTAGCAGACGGTTTATATATGGTTAGATATGGGCGACGCACACACACGCGCGCGCACACACACACACACACATGGGCGCTGGGACGCACGGAAGGACACACGCACACACGTGTGCCCACCTTCTCCCCTCTCTCTCTCTCCCTCTCTTTTTCTTTCTTGCTCCCTTTCTCCCTCTCTCTCTCCCCTCTCTCTTTCTCTCTTCTCTCTCACACGCCTTTTTACACTGCAGGATGTATAGATGAAGGGGCAATGCCACCCACTCCGCGACTCTGCGCGCGAACGCACAAACCTCGCACTATGCATGTCGATCGCAGTCATCACGTACATAACGTGTAAACAGCTGCAGCCTGCCTGCCCGCCCGCAGGGAACAGACGACATTACTACATATCTTCCCGCTTGTAGATTTTGCGCGGGAAGACGACACGCGTTTAGTGTAGGAGAGCATTTACGGTTCGTCTGCCTGCCGCTGCACACAAGGAGACGCCGCGCGGTCGTCCACGGCAGCAGGAGAGAGTGCACCCGCAGCTGTGCTGATGCGCACTTCTCGACATACGGTCCTTGCACTCTAGATCTCCGACACTCATCACGACTCCTTCACGCAGCATAGAAACTTAGATGTTTTGTATTATGCCGCGCGAACATACTGAGGCATTATGACCCGTCGCGCATGCGTTCTTTTTCGCTTGAATCTCTTCTCGCATTGGTCATCTTTTACGAACAGGTGCGATGTTTGTGATTGTTTTCGTGTTTCACAGCAAACGTAATGGAATCCCCTCAGTGGTAGAAGTTTCCTGAAAACGGATTCCATGTATTTAAGTTAATCCCTGTTCTCGTAAGATCGCTGTGAATTTGTGTCAAGTTAAATTGCATATACCATGCTTTCTCTCTAATACATCTTTCACGGGCCAACACATACACGCACCCGCGTGCTAGTTCACCTATTCACCCCGCCCAACCACTCACCCACCTAATCCCTCGCATCCAATCCATACAAAGAACCACCAATCTATTTACTTACTCACACACACACTCACTCTCTCACTCACTCACTCGCTCGCTCGCTCGCTGTCTGTATGTCTGTCTGTCTGTCTGTATGTCTGTCTGTCTGTCTGTCTGTCTGTATGTATGTCTGTCTGTCTGTCTGCCTGTCTGTTTGTCTGTCTGTCTGTCTGTCTGTCTGTCTGTCTGTCTGTCTGTCTGTCTATCTATCCGTCCGTCCGTCCGTCCGTCCGTCCGTCCGCGCGGGCGTGCGTGTGTGCGTGCGTGCGTGTGTGTGTGCGTGCGTGCGTGCGCGCGTGCGTGCGTGCGTGCGTGCGCGCGTGCGTGCGTGCGTGCGTGTGTGTGTGTGTGTGTGTGTGTGTC